TAGCGTTAATATCCAGCTGTAATCTAGATTAGTTTGTGACATGGGTAATATCCTTATTGGGTTTAGGAGAAAATATTTCAACTAATACCCATACGTTATTATAAACAGCCAGGCGGAATCACGCCAAGATAGCAGCCTAGTAAGTGGCTTTCTGGTCTTAATGCTGCTATTTTCAGGACTTCAATATTATAATTTTGTTTTGTTATTTGATAAAGTGTATCACTTTTCACAATCTAGCACTGATATGTTAACTATGGTACTTTGGGCTCTAGGGATAAAGCATTACTAGTACCTTTATCTCAAACTGTCAATAGCCGTAATGCAAAGTACATTCATTCTAAGCTCTCCAAATGTCACCGCGAACCTGTGTTGTGTTTAGCTTGAACACTTGGCATTTACTCTTCCAACTTAAAGGTGTGGACATTCATCTGGCTCAGGGTGCCAAAGTGCATTTAATTACTGTACGTAAAAAGTCAACCACCTTTTGGTTTCAAGGCAAGGAAGTTAACCCTTACTAGTGTGTTAACAGCAGATGACAGAGGAGCAAACGTGCAGTACATTGTATGAGATTATGAAAAATTGCCCAATTCTTCACATACATTGTAGAGAAGCAGACTGTAGACAGGCAGATGTCCTATTTCCAGTTTTGCTGATGGGTTTTAAGCTATCTATACATTTGAAATAATTGCCACCCAATCCAACCATTTTTCTACAATCTAATGTCAGTGGCAGCAGCAATGTTCTCCAACCCTACCTTACAGCTTGCAGGGAAAAATACTGATTTAACATAATTTTTGGTCTTGGAGATATCTAATTTTGGCACAAGATTCCCATGTCCCTACTCATGAATGCTAGATTCCCAATAACATACTTTCTAAGGTGATCCTATAGTTATGCCAGGCATTTAGGTTGCGCCTGCACTTCTAGGTGTATATATACATAGCTTTGTTCTCTGGAGGATAGTCACTCCACTTCCTGTACTACACTGGATATTTTGTGCAAAGTGATATTGACACAGCTCTTATATTTTCACAGTACTGACATTTATGAGGCTTTCAAGACCCCAGTCTTGTGTGTAGCTTTAGTGATGGCAACGATTATAGTTTTCTTTTATAGGTTTTTTTTTCTGAAATAATGGAAAAAGCAATGATGGCAAGGTTAGCCAAACAGCAGCAGCCAATTAGAATTAACTTTTTAATGTAGTCTGCTTTTTAAAGAGATGATTTCTGATTATTCCTTAGATGTGTGCCTAATGTGTATGTATGATGTATTTACAGTGTGTGTGTGTGTGTGTGTGTGTGTGTATATTGTGGTAGTTTGGGGAATTTAGCACAATGGTGAGCGCAAAATGACCACTCCTGAAGTCAACTTTCACATAAAAGGACAGTCTTTATTCACTAAAAGGCCAACAATCCATGTACTTCACAAAATAATATACTTTTCTTCAGCATAATGAAACACAACAGTTAATTTGACTTTCCTCAAAACATCTTATTTCTGTCTCACTGACATCTGGCTGTCCCATACACTCCCAGTGTGTTAGTCTCAGGACTTTACTGTATTTCCCAGTATCGCTCAGTAGCTTTCCTCTGCTCCGAGCATGTCATCACACACCTGTGTAATACTCGCACTGCTCACCCCTTGTGGGTCACTGACTCTCTCTTAGTCTTTCAGTCTCTCCAACAGGTCCCTTGGGTGTCACCGACCCTCTCAACCTCTCCCAGCCTTCCTCGGCTGTTTCACATGTGCTTCCAGCACACACTAGAGTCACCCTATGGCCATGTGCCTCCTGCACACCCACAACTCCCCTGAGCTCTGGTCCAGACTCCTAATAAGGCTGCTCTCAGCCATCTGATTATCCTAGACTAGTCATTGGCAACACCTAGCCCCAGGACTAGAGATTCCATCCCGCTACAGTCCAGAAAGCCCAGAAGAAACTGCAAAGCCAGCTTCTTCCCTGCAAAAATATTCACATCCTGGAAACTCTCAGCCTCCCTAACTGAGCGTTCTGGGTGACTGTGTTGCCATATTTCACTGTGGCACTGCCCCACACCACTACAATATATGTGTGGGGGTATATATATATACATATATATATATATCCGGTCAAAAGTTTTAGAACACCCCCATTTTTCCAGTTTTTTATTGAAATGTAAGCTGTTTAAGTCCATTGTATAACCTTATATGGTACAAAGCTGAACGGTAAACTGCCAGAGGTGGAAAAAATAGTTTAGGTTAGCAGAAACTGAAAAATAATGTACATTTCACAGTTATACAAAAAGGCTTTTTTCAGGGTAGAAGCAATGGGTTAACAACTCACATGTAAGTAAATTAAGCTTTGAAAGTGTATGCTAACAATACAGGTGTCCCAACTTTTGTTGATTACTCACAAGCTCTCTGTCTGTATAAAATCAGTGTTGGAACAGACTGTGTTACAACACCCTCATAAGCAATATTGGACAGTATTGTACTGCAGGAAGTAGTAATGGCGAGAAAAGGGCAATTAACGAAGGAAGACAGACAGACCATTATAACCCTGGAAAGTGTAGGTCTTTCCTTTAGAGAAATTGCAAAGAAAGCCAAGATGTTAGTGAGTAGAGTGAGTTTCCTACACCATCAAAAGGCACTTGTTAACTGGATCAAACTCTGACAGTAAGAGGTCTGGCAGATGCAAAGCCACAACAGAATCAGAAGACAAGTTTCTGAGAGTCAAAAGCTTGCGTGACAGGACACCAGTTTCAAGCACAGCTTAACACGGATAAAAGTAAGCAAGCCTCAGTTTCAACTGTGAAGAGAAGACTTCAAGCTGCAGGTTTGACAGGTCGAGTGGCAGTAAGTAAGCCATTGCTAAGATGACAAAATAAAAAAGAGACTTGACTGGGCCATGAAACACCTCCAGTGGACTACTGAAGACTGGAAGAAGGTCTTATGGACCGATGAATAAAAAATTTAGATCTTCAGATCATCACGCAGGTTTTTTGTACACCGTCGAGTAGGCGAAAGAAAGTTTCCTCTGTGTGTGACACCAACTGTCAAACTTGGAGGAGGAAGCCTGTGAATGCAAAGCAACCTACAAGTGCAACACATTTGTGGGAGCTTCTGCAAGAATGTTGGGAAGAACGTTCCGAACAATATTTGAGTTCCGTTGTAGAAAAAATGCCACGAGTGTGTTCATCTGTTATATCTGCAGAAGGTGGCTACTTTGATGAGTCAAAAACTTAGATTACATTTTGTTACATAAAATGTTTCTATGATTTCTTTTGGATATCCAATTGTTTAGTGAAGTGAATGTGGTTAAGACAATATACCGCAAACAATTAACAATAAATGATGTAGTGAAATTGTGTTAATCCGTGAATCAATCAAACTTAATAAAAATGTGGAAATATACAACCAATGTACATTTATACATATCAAATACATTGAAAAAGTTTTTTAAGACAAGTGCTGTGTACTGCTTTTTTCAAACACCATGGGTGCAATAAGGTGTTCTAAGTGTGGAAAGTTTATAAATTCAAAAAAAGAGTTTATAAATTCAAAGAAACAGAAAAATGTTCCGTGATAATTGTTGGGGATGCGGGCTAATGCTGTACGTCTCCCCTCGGGGTGTGTACTCACCACAATGTAGTGGCTGTAGTTAGCAGCCTGAAACGCTTTGAAGGAAACAGATTTTCCCGGAGCCGTGACGTCCTCGCCATAACTCTCAATGGTCCCCAGCCAGCAGACGGTTTGTCTCCAAAATCATATAAGAAAAGAGCCTCTCATTGCGTAGCAATTTCAAAAAGGATTTTATTTAAATCAAGTAAAAGCAGGACAACGAAATCCAAAAAAATATTCCGATCGGCAGACAGGATACTCTGTAAACTCCTGTGTCTGGTGTAGCATAAAGTTAGGCCCGCCCCTAGGGGTTTAGCAGGTGCAGACCCCGAGGGGAGACGTACGGCATTAGCCCGCGGGGAGACGTACGGCATTACCCCGCATCCCCAACAATTATCACGGAACATTTTTCTGTTTCTTTGAATTTATAAACTCTTTTTTTGAATTTATAAACTTTCCACACTTGGAACACCTTATTGCACCCATGGTGTTTGAAAAAAGAAGTACACAGCACTTGTCTTTAAAAACTTTTTCAATTTCTAAATGTACATTCGTTGTATAGTTCCACATTTTTATTAAGTTTGATTGATTCACGGATTAACACAATTTCAGTACATCATTTATTGTTTATTGTTTGCGGTATATTGTCTTAACCACATTCACTCAATTTATCCACCATTTTTCATTGGCGCTGCATATATTGAAAACATATACGATTTGACCTTTGTTGGTCCTTATTGCCGCAGCCTTCTTATTTAATCACTTAGTTTAGTTTAAGACAGAGCACTTTTGTTTCACCCATCCAGCGCAGAATCAATAAACACATATTCATTTTCAGAGTACATTGAGACATTAAACTGTGTACATTTCAATAAAAAATTGAAAAAAGGGGGTGTTCTAAAACTTTTGACTGGTGGTGTATATGGTGTGTGTATTACATAAATATATTTTTAAATAATATACAAATAAGCCATGGCTATCTTGTTTTGAGGAAAGCAGGGGACAGTGAGTATGTGAGTAATCAATTCTTGCGTAAAAGAAACAAAGCAATAAAGCTTCTTTTATTTAAATGAAATTACATCTCTTTGATCTGTGATCTGCTTCTGAAGAGATTATTCTTCTTTGAAAGCTTTTTAACAGTTCCAAGAACAAGGCCCATGAGCAGGTATGACTTGAAATGACAGGCTTATAGTTTTGCGCAACAGGGAATCCATGTACACCCTTTGTTGTCTGTAGAACGTATATACTTTTCTCATTGTTTTCCATTGTGCCCAGCTTATTACAAGATGATTCAAATTTGTATTAATGCCATATATATTGTGTGAAGATATATAATACTCATATTTCTTTGCATTTTGACTGTTTTTGTTTGTATTTCTCATTTGCCACTTTTTGTGCTCTAGGTTACCCAAATTTTGTTGCAACTTATGGTCGAGGATACCCTGGCTTTGCCCCAAGCTACAGCTATCAGTTCCCAGGTATTGTGTTTAACTACTGCATTGATTATTACTGTTGAGATGGTGTGCATGTGTAGAGTTGTGCTCTTTTTTTGTCTGTCAAACTAATCTTATGCAGGTTATACATTTCTGAGTATGTCTAATGTCATTTCATATTTAAAATATTGTTCTTTTCAGATATTGTATGATGCCTGCTAAACACTACAGTATTCGCTTTTGCAAACTCTATGATGTTGCCTATGTACTGTTGCCTTGATGTGGATAGTGGGTTATGTATGTCATCAATGTACAGCATCCCTTACACTAACACCTATTTGTGTGTGTGTGTGTCTGTATATGTATATATATGTGTGTGTGTGTGTATATATATATATATATATATATACACACACACACACACACACACATACAGTAAACCCCCAGTTATCCGGCCCCTCAGGGGAATCGGTAGGTGCCTGATAACTGTAGTTTCTGGTTGCTTGAGAGCTAATAGTAACTCTCAAGCAACCATCCCCCACAGCGCCCTGCTTCCCCCCGGCAGCCCCATTCTGCAGCCTACAGGTGAATCTAAGCAGCCAGGAGCAATAGTCAGATTGCTATTGGCTATTTCAAATTGCAATAGCAGGCTGGCTATTGAAGCCTCACCCACTGAGCAGAGTGGAAGTTCTCTCAGGTCCATTCCTATGCTCACTGGGCAGGAACAATAGCCAGCATGCTACTGGCGATTACAATCTGAAATAGCCAATAGCAGACTGGCTATTGAATACCCCACCATCTGAGCTGAGGACCGGACCTGAGAGACACTATATAACCCATACAAATCTAAGATCTCTATCAGATCAGCTCCTCTGCTCAGTGAGTGGGTGCAATAGCCAGTCTGCTATTGGCTATTGAAATTTCAAGTAGCCAATATATATCAGGATCCTGAAGTGATAAAACCCCCAAAAGTACTTGAAATTAGCAACAGATCATCCTCTGTGAGTCTGAGTAGCCCTAATACTCCTGGAATGCTTGATCCCTCACATCTCTATCCTACAATTCACTGAGGCAACTCAGTTAATAGAAGACAATGCTGAATGGTGGTATGAAGAGATGTTCAAGAACTAAGTCAGACATTCAAAGAAATGTGTGCCTGGGCTTTGGGTACTCCCCAAGTAACCAAAGGATGATATCTCCTGACCAAGAGGTACTTTGATGCTCATTGTAGTGCCTGCTATTAGGGACCACTGTTAGTTTGAGATTATAGGTCTACTTTGATCCCTGCGAGGATTTAGCAACTAATGATAGGCACCCAAAGGTAAGTCCATTCACCTGCATTGGTTTTAGAGCTTTCCAGTCCTCTTTTATTCAGACAGGTGTAACAAAACTCTTCCCTCTCAGGGGTGACACCAGCAAAAGCAAAAAAATCAGATCACCCTCTCTTTCTGACTAGGATTCAGAGCCCAACACACAGGGGATCTAGATTCCTGACATACCAACCATCTTCCCCAAAGTCCTTTTACCTTCACAACCTGGGCAGCAGATGCACTGTGTTGCAGACCTACCATATGGGGTTTTTTTTGGTTACACCTTTATATTGAGTTTTCAATCCCTGTGTCATTCCAATCTTTGACAGAAAATCATATGTGCACATTGGTGTGATGAATTGCAGTTATTAGTAATGTCTTTATATTTTACAGTTCCTGAATGACATGCATTTTAATGTTGTGGGTATGATTTTGCATATGGATATTAACCTCTTTAAAGTATTGATGTATTGGAAAAACAACTGGCCTGACCTGTTCCATTCATATGTCATAGTGTTAGATGTATTGAATCCTAAGCTTTGTTTGCAGAAGTGTAACATGTTGCAATATTCAGTTTATGTGTTGTTGCTACATTTGTCTTTCATGTGCATGTAGAACATTTAGTATCAGGGTGTCTTGCTGGTTATCAGCCTCCAGTAAATGTATGCATAATCTTTAAAGTAAAACCTATTCTTTTTACTCCTGTATATGGACTGTAACTGAAAGTCCTTGAAATGTGCCTTATTTACACAAGAAGATTACTAACTGTACTATGCGGTAAAGTTTCATCAGTATATAAAATCTTAGGTTGGCAACCCTAACTGGGCTATATCTTTGGAAATCTCTTTACAAAAAAGAACTATAAAACAGTCTGCTTGGCTTGAAACAGGAGTAGATAGCTTTGTCAGACTGTGATGTGCCAGTTGGCTACGGACTGTTCCTATTAAAGCAGCCATCACCTTCACACTTCTGTGCTTTTACCTTTTTTTGTCCCTAAGAGTGATGCTTCTGCCTTTCTTGATCCATCTGCTTCAATGGTTACCAATTTGACTTGATTATCACTTGCACAAAAACACAAATCTAACATGTTGTGCAGTAGGCGTGACCAGTATTTAAACTTGAAATAGCCCATGTTCATTTAGCTGTATTTTTAGATTTCTTCATGCTTTTCATTCACACATATTTCTAACTTGTAAGGTATTACATATTCGTGACTAACAAAATCAAGGTAGTTGCAAATGTTTTTCTTTGAGACAAAATGATAGTTGCATGCAAGATCCTTGTTTACAAATGAAGAATCTGTTTTTTTCAATGTATTGCTCATTATTTGAGAAAGTGGAAGCAGTGTTTCCTGAAGTAAAATGGAATTGTGCCATAAAATCAGGGCACTCGGTGCTCATATCGAAATCTGAATGTCTATGTCTTATTGTATTCTTGTAGTAAAACAAGCAGATTTTTTTATACCTTTAAAAATACCACTAAAAAAAACAAAATAGAGGCTTTTTAAAATGCCAGGTGTACATTAAGATTGCACAGGATGATTTGGACATCTTTCACTGACATTCCCTAGAAAATTATTTTTATAGCTGTTTCCCAACTGGAGCCCTTGCTCAAAAAACTTAGGAGGGATTTTGTGCCCTTCTCTTTTCCCTAAATCAAAGTATTTGAATGAAGGACAGTGCTTGTCACTCATTGCATCCAGTAAGATTATTCCTTAAATTTTCCCACTGCTGTATTGGGGAATAATTTTGGTCTGGTGCTAGAACAGCTAGCTTCAGACATATTGATAAATAGGGCCTTTGCTAGTCTCTGTTTGGCTGGGGAGAGATGTCTTGGGTTCCCTTAGGAAGAGTTTTGAGTCCAAGACTAAACAAAGTGAAGACTGCACTGCCTTGGCTACACAATCATGTCTAGCATATAAAGGTGGAAGATGAAGTGCATACACTTTTTTTGTATGAAGTTAAATTTCAATTAGGCATTTACGTCACTGCATTTTCCATTCATTCCAATATATTTTTTGACACATTTTACATGCTTTATGATAATTTCCCATGGAAGATGCCTGTGCTTTAAGACGAGCGAGCATATATACCTATTTGCAATTAGCTATGACATTAAATAGGTCTATAGTGTCAGTGATATTTGTAAAAATATCAGAGTTTATGTAAAGTGATCTTTTTTAGGCCCTGTTCACACCAGGACGGTTTGGTCACACGGATTTGTCCACGCTGAACCACCGACATAAACAATCCCATACATTCCTATGGGGAGCGTTCATGCAAGCGTGCGACTCCGCGCGATCGGAACTGCCTGCCACCCAAAATGCCCCCTGAGTTACTTTTTTTTGCCCTGATCAGCGCATTTTCCATATAGATTTAAATAGAAGCACAATTACCAGCGTGCTTTTAATTGTGTTTCAGCGCTGCAGCGCGATTTTAAAACGCCCATAAACGCCCTTTCAAAAATTGCGCTGAAACGCTTCCACTCTCGTGTGAATGGGGCGTTGGTGCATCATCTCAGCCATCCTCTTCAGAATTTGCAGTATTCTGTAAGAAATGTTGTCTGCGACTTGGTTGGCTATTTTGTATTGTTTTGTGTTTTCTTTGTAAGAATGTTGTACAGGTGACCGAAGTTGAATTTGTGTCTTATTCTGCTGATCGCTTTTTTGATGTGTGCATCATGTGCAGTCTGGTGTAATGTGAGAGCAGATGGGAGACAAAACATATTCTTACTTAAGCCTGATTCTTTTAAATCCTGCCTTAGAGACACCTACCAGTGCATTTGTATGATTTGAAAACTATATAGACACACTAGTCTCTTGTGGCAAGATTTCCAGTTTGATCCACAGCTTTATAGGCTGTCACATAGGCACTCGAGAATTTAACAGATTTTCTTTATCCAACTGCAAGCAAGAAAGGGGTTAATCCTTGCTGATCCCTAATTAGTAGCTGGATAATAAATGTAATTAATTATTTTCAATATTTCTGTTTTGGAGTGGAGTGGTGATGGTAGCGGCACAGTTTAGCATTTTTGCTTATACTGAAGTATGTTGTGTCTAGATAAAATAGTTTGGACTTCTGTTATTGTTATCATTTGCTTCTTTTTTTCAGTTCTGCGATGCATACCTCTCTATAAGAGTATGTATTTCAGAAGTAATCCTTTTCCTAGCGAGAGGCAAAAATCTGCAGGGAATGGTGTGCTGCCCATCTTTTCACAAATGTTATGTCCAGCTGCAACTTCACAGAGTCCCAGCAGTAGTGTACATATAGTGCCATTTGATCTATAACCCACTTACATGGAGATTTTTCAACAAGTTGGAAGATCTCTTTGTGCAATAATTAGCACCAGTTGCCTGAGGTCCTCATTATTATACACTCGCAGCGCAGTAATTGCTCAGCAATTGCAAATGCTCGAAAACAGAAGCTTCACTTGCTTTTATCGCGATGTTGATGGCCAGCTATTTCTGCAAATGAGGCGAATGTTAAAACATACCTGAACAAAAACCAAAAATGTAATATATTGCAGCTTGCCAGTCTTTAGATGTGGTAGCTGCATTCATTTATTTTTTCCTTTTTTTTTCTTTATTTTCACCTGTTAAATCACACATTTCCAGTATGGCAATGCTTACTCACTGCAGTGTATCAGGACAATCAATTCATAACATAGATGGGTGGTGCTCTATAGTCCTCAGAACAATATAACTGATAACAGGAGTACAGGAAGCTTTTGGATTTC